TTAGAGATCTTTGAGCTCTTTCTAGTGCTATTATACGTGTTTTTGCTGCACCACCCCAAACAGGTATACAATAACTCAGTACCGATTGCTCAAGAGCTTTGTAGATGGTAATGAGGGTCGTTTCATTTGCAACACACCTGAGTTTTTTGAACACCTATGTTAGTTTTCTTATCCTGTCAGCGATGCTTTCAATGTGCTGACTCCATGTAAGATGCAGATCAATAGTTACACCGAGATATTTGATGGTACTAGTCCTGGTGATTTTATCACATAAGCAATTACTGTGGCTATTTAAATAAGGATTATGGCAGGTATGAACTGTTACATTAAAATTAGAATTAGGTTGTGTATTTTTCCGTATAGGAAAAGGTATGAATTTAGTTTTATTAATATTTAGGGTCAGAAGGTTTGATCTTAGCCAGTTAGATATGTGGTGGATTCCGGAGTCAGCGATAACCATGATTTTCCCATGATTTTGCATTAAAAATAAGAGCGGTGTCATCTGCGTAGGTATATATTTGACAATTTTGTAGGCTTATATTGCATAAATCGTTGACATAGATTAGAAATAAAGTAGGCCCGAGGACGCTACCTTGAGGAACACCATAGGAGATATTTGATGGACGGCTAAGATATTCACCAAGTTTGAGTTGTTGCTGACGTTCAGTGAGATAATCTGATAGAAGCGCATGAGGCAGACCTCCTATACCATATTTATTTAGTTTGTCTAACAGGATAGGAATAGAAACGGTGTCGAACGCCTTGGCCAAATCCAAAAAAACTCCAAGACATTTGTTATCAGAGTCCTGAGTAGAAATTCCATTTCTAAAACCAAATTGATTTTTAGAGAGCAGGTCGTTATCTATGAGATATTTTTTCAATCTATTATTTATTAGCTTCTCCAGAATTTTGGATAGTACTGTTAACACAGAAATTGGCCTGTAGTTGTCGACATCATCTTTACTTCCACTTTTATGTATGGGGGTTACTAATGCCCTTTTAAATGTTATGGGAAATCGGCCACTATTAAAGCAAAGATTGTAGATATGGCAAATTATAGGTGTAAGGGTATGTCTGGCCATTTTAATAAATAATGTAGAAATGTTATCCCATCCTGGGGCAGAATTATTGGAGAGGTTGTTTATGATTGAATTTACTTCCAATGGATCTGTATCTAAGAGAGCAAAAGAATTCATTGGGGTTGGTATTTTATTAATGTAATTATTTACTATAGGAGGGGAAGAGTTTTTTAGGTTTTCAGCCAAGTTTTTGCCTATACTAGAAAAATGATCGTTAATAAGATTAGCAGATTCTACAGGGGAAGACGCAATAGTTGTAAGTTTGTGTGTGTCGTCAGTTTTATCTTTATTAACATAGCAAAATTGATTTAATATTTTTCCATAGAATTGCATTATCCAATATTTTCCTTTCATAATTATTTTTAAGCTTCCGGACAAGTTTATGACAGTAATTTCTATAGCGTGTATAAAAACATAATTAAATAAATAATAAAGGTACAATTACCTTATCTTATCTGACCTGACTTATCGCTCTGGAAACGATTTCATTCACCATATTATGCAAAAAAAAAAATGTTAACAGCGAATGGCTAGGAACCATGGGTGTGTACATCAATGATATAATTAAGTTTGAAAATAAAATATATAATAAAAACAAGATAATGACACGAAATGTGATGGGAATTATAAGAGGTCCAAGTAATAACCTTTGAGTAGATTTTGAAGGAATAATATACGCGTGAAAAAAACTTAACAACACATTTGCTCATGAACTGTGATGATCCTTATAATTATTTTTTATCTTATATAGTGATCCTGATCAAGATACTAAGATAAAGTAATTTAATTATTGTTGCCATCTATCAGTATGTGAAAATTACATTAAAGGTTTCGTTACATAATTACGATAGATACACGCAAAAGTTATAAGTGTGTTAAAAAAGGATTTGAATACGGCGAATATTTAAAGGGAAGGAGTTCCACAAGCGTATAGTAACAGAAAATAATTTATTGAAAAAGGAGGATGAATGTACGGGAGTATGAAGAGACAAATTATTAGAGCGGTTTTCACTACTCGAAAAGCCTAAGTCTAACGTAAAATCTGCGGTCATTATCTCAGAAATACGAGTTTCCATGCGATAGCTTGCGGTGTACGTATTGTTGCGCGCCACTATTAATGTCTTGTACACGGCAACACTAGTTACCATCAGCGCCCTCTAGTGTCGATTAGCAGAACTAGGAGTCAAGATCCTTCTAGAAATTTCGGGACTGATATGTACTCGAACATTCTAGATATCGCTACAGTAGAAGGTTCTGGAAACTATCTGAGGCCCTATATAAGGCCGGTATAGACCACGACCGAGGCACTATTGAATTGGCGATACCAGAGAATACTTCGAAGCGAAACAACTGCGAACTTAAGTGATCAGTAGTACAATTGTGTTTTATTATTAGTGTGGTTTTAGATTGTAATTAGTGTTCTGTAATTAAAGTGTCAATTTTGGTAATTCAATCGGCAGTTTTTAATTGTCTCGAACCCAAAGCTCGTAACAGTATTATGCGATCTCATAATAAATGTGCGTAATAACGTCTGGACTCGGGTAACACTGCGAGGCGAAAAGATAGTTGTTATTATAAAATGAAATGCCAATCTCTTGTAGATTAAGTTAAAATATCATTAAGAGACAGAAACCAGGGCAATTGTTTTGTATTATAATACGAGAAAATAGCAATAGAAATTGTGGAGAGCGTAAAATAAAATGTCTTATTTCAAATACCGTTTATTATGTACATTCCTATTCTTTTTTATCGGCCCGTGAAAGAGTTGTCGGTCGCAGCGCCAGACGTCTCGAACCTTTGACACTGCTGCTTATCGCACACTACATAGTAGTGTAACAAGCTACATCAACTAATACATAAAACCACAGTTTTAATAATAGCTGATTTAGGGGTGAAATTTCGTGATTACAACAAAAATAAATAAAGGTAAGCACATGACTATTAAGTTACTTGAAAGCCATGTATATATAAAATAATTTTGCCGTGTCTGGATATTTTTGTCCTGGTGCAATTTGTGTATATATAAACTGCCTCCAAATACAGGAGAAATAACTGCTTTTTGGGTAAATTTTTTATTAAAAATAAGCCTTATATTTATACGCGTAGGTATTGTAATTAACACACACGCTCTTTACATGCTCGAGTTTTATTTATATTGATTATGGTTACTTTGTTAGGTACGTTAAACTTCTACGATACTGCAGTAAATATTATATTTGGAAAATGATTTTTGTTTTTTTTCTTTGCAACCTCGGTTTTTACGCTCTTACTATCCTAACGCTTTTGAGACAGCCTACACCGATCATATCGTAGATCAAATTAGTTGTTACAGATGGAGCTAGTTTTCTAATACGGAAAATTCGTTAGGCAAATGTTCGGACAAATGGACAAAAAATAGTTATTTTTATTGTTTTTTTTTTTTGGAGTGGAATATATCAAAACACCGCAATATTTTGTTGAATACTGGATTATGTGTTACATATGAAAAATTGGGCTCATCAAATATTTACAGACAAAGAATCAACATCAGCGGGCTACAAATATGTGATGTCTATCGCAATCAAAGGTTATTCGTGTGTGTTGGTAATTACCCCACTATTCGAACGTCAAGGGTTTTATTTTTCCCTAGAATGTTAAACTTTATTGAAATATTCTAAATACATACTAATTAATGAAGTAGTTAGTTGGATAGTTGAACTTGCTTTAGAAGAAATAAAGAAAAGTTTGTCACAATATTTGCAAAAGTAGCTTTAACTATATCAGTACGTTTTCCTGTCTTACACCTCCCCGCAGTTGGATAGGTTTCTTTAATTAGTTCTGTACTCCGATAGATATTATTAAGCCTTGGATATACTTGGGAACAAAAGGAGCGGCATGTTGCGCAACATGTCGCTTAACAACTACGTGGTATGTCCCGAGACATATGTCGCGGAACATTTTGCAGGCCACACTAGTCAATGCTTATAGAAATGTCGCCCGAGAAGATTGTGGCGATTAGTGCTACGAGTAGTACTTACTTCGGGAGTGAAACGTAAGCGAAAGAGAAGATGCGGAATTTCTTACTATAAGGATATGAAAGACGAATTAATATTTTAAGTGATCTCTGAATGTCTGACTAATCCTTTGTAAATTTTACTCGAATGTCTACATCTGAGTTTGAAACTTTATTACAAATGACCTTCCATGGTCAAACAGGATACAATACTACGGGACGCTGTTGACCCTCATATCAGACTTGCCATTGCATTAAGATACTTGTCGACTGGAGATTCTTATGCTTCCTTGTCGTACACTTTTCGAGTGTCGAAACAACTGATCGGTAGAACAGTACCAGAAGTTTGTGGTTTGAAGTATCTCCCACAACAAAACATGACTCTGGTAAAGCTCAAGAAGTAAAAGCACGGTTTCGTTTGCACACACTACTGACATGTTGCAAGGCACATTGCGCATACGCCTACACCCGGTAACAAGTCGCGCGACACTGACACGGGATACGTTCGCTAGCTCTCGGAGCGGGAACAAGCAACATGTGCCGCGTCACGTAAAATGTTGCGGGTCATTTTGCAGGTCACCGTGCAACGTTGCACCGTCACGTAGTTTGAGTGTTCCGCGTTATGTTGAGGGACAAAATGTCCCTTAGTGTGTCCGGGGCTTTAGACTTACTGCACAAACAATTCACTACTTCGACTTGCCGACAGAGACCTAACATCGCCCGAGAGAATTCTACACCGTCCAAATTTCGACTTTACGAAAAGGGTACGGCAAAAAATTTGCGATTGTGGAAACAGGGTAGCCTTCACATAGCCCAAAACACGCGATTGCGAATAAAGGGTTGAATAGACTGATTTATTCAAAATTTTAACTTGTCTATGAAAATATGTATTTTATTTCTTATTTATTTAATTTTAAATTATACTAAAATCACAGCAGCATTTCGGAGCTACGCCCATTCGGATTATGCAAAGGTGTGGTACAATTGCCTACTTCTACGATCCACTCGTACCATACACGCCGTGAATTGACACAGCGCCAGAATGTGGCAGTTATGACTTCTCCCTTGTGTACTCTTAAAGGAGTCTGTAACAACAAGCATTGTACTAAATGTAATTGCAATTTTACAAAAAAAAAAATGAGAGGGAGTTAAAAAATTAAGGATAAGATGCAATTACCTTAATCGGTATAAAAACAGGAAACCATGATATCATTCCTGGGCTATGTGTTGATGGGACAATACTTATCATTTCCTTTCCATAAAGGGAACAATCGAAATATCCTCCAAAACCATGCATCACATTATCTTGTTTCACTACCCAGGAAACAATTGCTGATCTTCTATTATCTGTAAGGGGTAACCCTCTGTAATCAGTCACTTCTTTACCTTCATGATCTCTCGTACCTTTAGCTGGGTGTTTAAATGTAAACACAAGCTGCAATAATATAATATGAGTATACCATTTAGTATACATTTCCACTATTTATTTAAAGAAGTAAAAGAAAACAATTACCTTGGTTTCAGCAATGTCATGTTTGTTTTGCATATACACAACCCATAGGGTTTCAAGGTTCTTATCTCGTTGTTGTGCCGAATTAGATGATGCCGCTTTAGCGGCTGCCCACAATCGAGCAGAAGAAATTGGTGCCACGTAGGAATTGTACTCATTGGGAATGGATATGCCATCCACTTTCAAAAGTCCAGCTGCGCCATCCAAACATTCTGGGGAAAGTTCATTATCTCCCCATGAGCCTACAAATGAAATCGTTGTAGTTTCAAGACATTATACTTACAACAATACTGATAAAACATTTGTTATTCACACACCTAACAATTCTGAAACAATAATATCAGCTTTTGGAGAAAGATTTATTTGTCTCATGTCACCAGGAATGACTATGACATCACGATCTCGCCAAACTTCACGGGCTTGAGCAGCTAGCACTAATACAGCACATGGATTTTTCTCTACAGCTATAACCTAAGGCATAGAAATATGATTACAATTTAAACATACAAAAAGACAATGCCCATCTGTGCCCCAGAAATGCCCAGATAAAGTATATTGCAAGATTGCTCTAATAAATAAAAACTAGAATTATGTTGTTAATTTTAAATCATATGAAGCACTGGATAAAAAATAAGACGTTTTGTTGACATTGCAGTAGGTACGTATTATCGTTTCAATCATTAATTCATGCTTTATTTATTACGGTCTGGAATCACGTCCTTTGGCCCATGTAAAACTCAACATGATTGATATTAGTCATAAAAGTGATTACTGAATAATCGAATAATAATATATTGCTTCACAACTAAACCAAATAAAAATATAATTTTATAATAAACGTCATCAGATGAAAAAAAACATGGCCCAGTTAAGCATATATTTTGGTTATCAAAAGCCAGAGGCAGACTAGTTTTTTCTAACGCCATTTATGGGACTATTTGTTTGTTCACCTATCCCTCATTGACAGTCTCTTAAATTATAAAATCTTAGGCTTTGTTTATTTCGGGGCTTAATAATTGTCATGATAAATAAAATCTTCGAAAAAGGAATCGTTTTTTTGTTGATCAATTGATCTAAGTAATCGATTCCAATATCGATTATTATTTTACATTTGAATCATCAACGAGTTGAATAAAGATCTAAATGATGTCTCCAGACACGCAAAAGTAAAAAAGTACTTTGTGGTAGTGTATAAGTATATCTAGGCTTCAAATAAACAAATATAATTAAAGCAAAAACCTAATGAAGTAATGGCTCAAAAGACTTAGCTCCAAGTCAAAAACATTTCAAAAAAACTAAAATGACTGTCACTCATCCTTTCACTGTATAAAAAACCAGTAGGAAGTTATCAAGTTTAATGTCCAATATCTTTTGAACCGGTGCTTTATATGACATTAAATCTAGATATCATAAAAATACTGTTAAAAAGTTATCATATGACATAGAGCTGCAATTTGGGCATTGCATGGCATTGCTGACTTTCAGCTCCATACTAATATGGGCATGGTCCTTTCAATAATGATAATTCGAAGACGTCTAATTCTCGCAAGCAGCAAACTGTTTGGATTTCAAATATAGTGTGGTAGTATCAATAGTTGTGAAACACCTTTGATATCAGGTGATGCCGCCGCCCGCGTATGGCTAGTGCACGCAATAGGAGAGGGCGGGAGGTGCTCTTCAAACGAAGTAAGACACATCATTTTATTTTATTGAGCGGATGTAGGCGAAATAATTTTTACCAACTTTAATATAATAGCGAGGTAGTTCCAACACAAGTATTTTATAACTTACTGGAGCTACCTCAATTTATGTATTGAGAAACAATAAAACAATTATTATTATTATAAAAAAATCCGCAAAGTAACGCCTGATTCTATTAATTATCTTAAAAAGAGGGTAACATAAGCATGGCCGTCATTTGAATTTAAAGGACAATGTTTTGCGTCCATACAATGTTCGCCTAAGAACCAACAGTGAAAAAAAATACCTTTTTAAGTCCGAAATTACACATAATTGTATGTAAGAACAATAACTCCTGACGGACACTTCTGAAAACTTAGATATTTGCAGTTATCATAGAGATTTTGAGGTTATGTTTTATGTTTATGAAACATCGTATCCGTTGTTCAAGCCGTTGTTCGTAATTTATATAAACTTATCGCATACAAAGCAACTACAGAGTGCACTTAGATTCCTAAAACATTTACAGAAATGTATTTTTTCAAACGAAACCAAAACAATAGCACGTCTGACATCTATCTATTTTGACTTGTTGTCATCTGTCAACGTTTTTGACTTTTTTTTGCGTGGCACAACGCTGATTTGCCAATGAGATGATAAAGGTATTGTTATTTTTAATGAAAATAGATGATTTCACTGTACCCCAGTTGCTTGTGGCATATATTAATCTCAGATATATTTTAAAATATAAACGTTTTCATAATATATTTGAGTTTATGACAACTTTTGAAATATGTGAATGAAGGTATTGTGCGATTGGCTAAATCACAGGAGGCCATACACGAAGCACAATAGTATTAAAAAATAGGTACAAAGTTCAAAATCGAAAAAGTCCTTTTTATTTTGATTTCACAAGTCAGAAGTGTCCGTTACTATCTAATGAATATTATCTAATGCATAATTAAGGATAAGAATTTTGGTAATAGTCAAATATATGTTGGTTCTTAGGCGAGTTTGAACATTGTCCTTTACTTAGTAATTCATATAACTATAACAGTAATTCACCCTTATAGATATTATTATTTTCGAAAACGGCACTTATAAGTAGTTAACCTTTTGAGCGCCACGCCAAAATGCATTACCGTGTCCTGTACGCCAAAGCGAAAAGTAAACAAAAATACCTACGAAAAAAATAATACTGCCAACACCAAAACCACAGCACTACTCTCCATCGTGATGACGTCACTGTCACGACTGGACGACAACGACGTAGCTGTCCTTCCTTTTTGAAACTTCTTTGAGATGTAGCCGTGTCGCACATTGTGTATCGATTTCGAAATCGATCTAACCAAAATATACAGACATCGATTCAAAATATTTTATGTGTCGGGGGAGGCGTAGGCCAAGTGAAGCACAGAAGAAAAGTCTTACGCTCTTATGACAATGGGGGTTTGATATGATGCTGATGCTGCCAGATGATTTTGAGATTGAGAAAGAAAATAGCACAACACAAAATGAAAAATGGCTCTTCATACCTTAAGTAAAAAAACACATTTATTATTTGTAATTTTATATTATTAAAATAAAAAAGGTACATAATTATTCACTAATCAACAATTGTATATAATTATTCGCACTAGATAAATCAGTCAGAATCGTCCATGTTGCACTGCACTAATTTTCCCACTAATCACTTATGACGTCATCACGGTGTCGTCTATCCTTCACCACGGCGCCCAGTGAACTGATTTTCGATGACGCGCTAAGGATGCGCCAGAGTTGAGATATTAGATTTATTATGCAAAGATGATTTGATAACATTTTTTTTATTCATGTAGCTAATTATAGTTTTATGTTTCCAACCTTCCCGCGTTCGACACTAGCGGTCAACCATAGACGACTTTGGACATAGTATTTTTCAATAAAAAATCCATTTTTTTTAGTTCAATGTTTCTTAGTACTTGTTGCTCTAGGAAACTTGTTTTTTATACTCACATGTTGCTGGGTTATTCTTTTTTGAGGCATGTAGAATTAAAATACCAGTAATAATTTTCCAATATCTATATTTCATATTTTTGTGGGCCGGGTTTTTTGTCAACTATAGACGTCGTTCGCGCTCAGGGTCCGCAGGTGCTGGTCAAGTATAGGCGACTTTGGCGCTCAAAAGGTTAATTGCATTGCACTAAACTGTGGTAGTATGCCCCACCGAATATAACAAAAGTCTAATAGATGAATAATTTTAATTATACCTGTCTAGTTAAAATGATGAAAAAAACTTCCGAAATATTAAGCGCAAACTGTTGGCGCTTTTGTTCCATACAGCTGAGCAATGCAGAAAATGCATTTATAAGTGTACAAAACATTTAAAGCATGTAGTTTGTATCGCTCCGTCTAAACAGGTACACAGCCAAACATATATAAATAATTCTATTACCATTCAATTGCCACCGTTTTTGGCACGTCTTTGATGTAACAGATGAGTCTTTATTAAAACAATAGCTTGTTAAAAACAGTTCATTAAGATAAAAGAATGCCGAAATTCCACTTCATTAATTAAAAATACAAATATTTATAAAGCGCATAATTAAAGCTGTATAGTGGCGGTATAAGAGAATCATAATACCCCATATCAGCCTTAGATTATTGTTAAAAGCGACAATAAATGCGTTAAGCGTAGTAATTAAAGACGTTAAAAGCGGAAATACAAAAGGAGATGGACAAAAGCATCTACTTAATAACAATAATGAAAAAACTATACCGAATTTAAAGAGAGCTCATCAAAAAAACTTACATTACATATTATACAAAATTACCTTCACTTTAGTTTGTGTTATATCAGCAGCATTTAATGTTGCTCGAACAAGGGGTCCTCTACCAGCGCCTAAAACCATTACTGTGATAGGTTCGTTTTGTACTACTTTGTTGTCGCCTTGTCCTTCCTCTTTTTTCTTATAAGATACAGAAAAATCATTGACTTCACTCTGTAATAAATATCGCATTTTTTTAACAAAATTAGCTTACTATAATATGTTACACATATGAATGAGAGAACGAACAAAGTGTTAACAATTTTTTAATAGTTAATTAGTTAGATCAAATTATGATAGACCAGGTCTAGCAAGACAAATTTCATTACAAACGATAGAAACTTTGGTGATTGCTTTGCTTATAGTTCACTACTTGGCCATATGTTTGCCATGAATTGTAGTAGAATTCAGCTGTGAGCGCTTCTTCTAAGCTTAGTAAGAAATCCATAGATGCGTAATATGTATGCGCATTTGAGATGAGAAAGTGGAAAAAAAAACTGGGTGAGAAAGTACAGAGGTGTTTCATCTGCTAAATAACAAAATCTGCACATCATTTAATCGCTAAGTACGTGAATAGACATGTTGATTTACAGTCTTCTCGGACCATATTATGATTAAATAATAAATGCCCATACAGTATAATATGTGTCCATTATACTCGTGTGATTACCTCGTACTGGCAAGCGAAGTATTGTGCGACTCTTTACTAGATGAAGGGGTGACCTGACAAAATACACATGCAGTAGATGGATTCAGATGACTTAGGACCGTACTTTGTGGCAATTTATGGGAGAGGCCTATTTTCAACGCTGGACTCGTGGTGTGCATTAAATGGTCCATGATAAATATATAAGTAAATTAATTGGTTAATTTATAGTAAATGTCATTCTCGTTACATGTATTTACACATATTAAGATTTGAACAATTTCATGATTTATCCATTTAAAAAAATATATTTTAGTCTGAAAACAATTTGTGTTTTTTGCTCTACAATTTTGTGTTGTCATTGTAGAAGCAACAAATCGAAACGAATTTATGGGAACATCATGGTTAGCAGACAAATTTGTGAAAAATACAATTGCGTTTACACAACCCGATATCGAACACCTGATTATTCTGTCACGCACCACGGTTATTACATCATCTGTTAGATTATTTGAGATCCATCTGGCATCTCAATAGAAGCCAATCATATTCGACACTAAGAGATGAAATAGGTTGATGGAATCCTTTACACAGCTTCATACACAAAAAAGGAATATTAATATGCTAATTATTTACAAAATATTTGTATTATATTGAAGTACATAATGTCTTGAAGAATTAGTAATGAATATATCCATAGTAGAACTAGAGTAACCAATATAGCCCAACAGATTAGTAAGCTTAAGTAACAATGGGCTGGCCATTTAGCGCGAAGAACCGCAATCGATGGGGACAAAATGGCAGCCTCGTATTGATAAACGCAGTATAGGTCGGTCCCCAACGAGGCGAAGTGACGACCTGGTAAGGCATACATAAATCGATGGATGGAGGTGGCTCAAGACCGTGTTTTGTGGCATTCCTTGCGAGAAACCTATGTTTAGCAGTAGTCTTGTTAAGGGCTGTATTGATGATGATAACATAAGGTAACTCTACATTAGTCTACGAAAAAAATTAAATATCTTACTTACGCAGAGTTCATTTACAATTTGATCATTGTCTTTGACCTGTCGCTTTTGCCTTATATCTATTAAAGCTTGCGTGATAGCCTTTTGATATTGATCGTATTTAACCGGATCTTTTTCAAAAACATTATATGTATGGGTATCCAAGTTGTCAGCAAGAGGTTGCAAGGGTGTTTGAAGATAATCTTCCCACCTGGTTATTATCACAAGACTTAATCAATATTATCAGTAAATAATTTATTTAAGAAACCGAAACACAATTAATTAATAATTAATTTGTCAAGGGCCTGTCTTTTTATTTGTGATACATGTTTAGGCAAAATTTCAACACATTGCAGCGAAAGTTCAGATTAACTAATATAGGTAAATGGTGAAGAAAAATTAATTAAAAAAAAATCTCAAATATTCTGTCCTTTTAATCTTTTTAATTCAAAATGCGTGGGAAGGCATTATTTTAACTGATTTTACTGCGCGCGCACACATTCGTAAGGATAGATCGGTAGGCAAAAACGTTGTTGCCCATAAATCACATTCAATTTGGGATAATTTCAAATAAAAGTAGAAGCCTTATTTACTCGTATTTTCAAAAACTGCAATAACGGTATATCATTATTTCTATATTTAAACTGAGTTTAAAATTTGGTTAAAATAATCCTTTATAATAAAATAGTAACCAATTTTTTGTTTGTCTGCAAGTTTGTGGACGCTAATCTCGACAATGTCTGAACCAATTTTATGGTTTTGCAGTAGTGTATTGAGTGAGATAAGCTTGTTCTAACATTTTTTTATTTAAGTTGGTTGACAAGTATTTTTAAAGAGTAGCTCTCGCGTGTTTTAAGTGACGCGTGCAAAGTCTGAATAAAAAGCGATCCTGGGTTGCTTCATCGATGTGTACCGACCAAACGATTAGATAATGTGAAAAAAAACTATTAAATATAAATATTATTAAAATTTGGGTATAAAGTACGAGGGGCACACTGAAATGGTCGGAAATAAGAAATACCATGCCCGGTATAGCTAAATTGTATTTTAATTTTTTTTAAGTATTCTCCATTCAACTTAATGCATTTTTCCATTCGTGCAAAGCAATCATAAAACAGTAATTCCAGTCTGATGTTGATGTTGACAAAATGGCTGATTTGTACGCTTCCACAGCTGCTTCGGGGTCTTCAAACCGTTGACCGCGTAATAAATCTTTCATTATAGGGAATGTAAAGAAATCGTTTGGGGTCAGGTCAGGACTGTACGGAGGATGGCTCATCAGCTCAACGTTTTCCTGCTTCAAAAAATCATTTGTCTTCCGAGCCGTATGGAAGCTCGCATTATCATGATGTAAGATGATGCGACGTTTCGGGTTATTTTTTCGGAGTTTGGCTATCATTTCTGGCAAACAAACCGTGATATACCACTCAGTGATAACCGTTCTGAGTTCCTGTAAAGGAATTGTAGCAACATGCCCCTTTTTCAAGACAAACGTAGCGACCATTTTCTTTGACACGCTGCGGGAGCGAACCACTTTCGTTGGTTTGACCTCGTCTTCGAAGACCCAAACTGCTGACTGTTTTCTTTCAGGTTCGTATGAATAAATCAATAATTCGTCACCTGAGACGATATTATAAACGGCATTTGACTTCCCCCCGCTGAAGCGTTGCAGAGTATTCCGGCACAAATCTACACGAGCCGCCTTTTGCTCTTCGGATAAATTGTGGGAAACCCAGCGGGAAACTAGCTTTCTCTTACACACAGCTCATTATGATTGAATTGCAGTCATTCCGATACTGATAACAGCCCGAATCTGCTCGTATGTCACATGACGGTCATCTAATATTCGCACAGCTGCGATGTTTTGAGACGTGACCGCTATTCTTGGTCGACCTGCAGAAGAAACAGACTTACGACCGCGTCGGAACTCGGCATACCAGCGGTATATTGCCGTTTGACTCGGTGCTTCAACATCATAAATCGAAACAAGTTCGCTGAGACATTTATCTTGAGATAAGCCGCGACGAAAATTGTGATAAATTATGGCACGGAAATGTTCACGCGTGAGCGCCATTTCTGTTAACGACGTGTCAACTTTAAATCAACATAGTTTTTGTTTTTAAACATTTTTTTTAATTGTTTGAATGTCATTAAGATTCTAAGCCGTGCCGTGGCCGTGTAGTGGCGGTCAAGAATACCACTACCCCATATCCTCCCGTGGGTGTCGTAAAAGGCGACAAAGGGAAACAGGCAGGAGATGGGCAGCAGCATCTTCTTGATAATAGCCAAAATTACAATAAAAAAACTGCGGTTGCCAACCCGCTCACCAAGCGTGGCAACTATGGCAAATACCCCCCTATGAATGTAACAAAGAGACGGCCCCCAGTCCCCGGCGGCCCCGCTATTCCTGGCTACGGTAGCGACCATGGTAACGGCGGGGCAGGGGGTGCTAAGAATCTCCGGTGGAGGTTCGGTTGCCACCTTAGACGACTCGACCTGGCAACGTACAACGCACGCACCCTGAGGACTGACGAGAAGATTGTGGAGCTGGAAGAAGAGATAGACAAGTTGCGCTGGCATATTATAGGATTATCCGAAGTCCGAAGAGAGGGGGAGGACACGGTAATCCTCGAATCCGGCAACTTGCTCTATCACCGGGAGGGCGACCATCTGTCCCAAGGAGGTGTCGGATTTATCGTCCACAAGTCTCTCGTTAACAACGTTGTAAAGATCGGGAGTGTGTCGACGAGGGTTGCGTACCTTATACTCAGAATCACCAAACGGTATTCGCTGAAGGTCATACAGGTTTACGCACCAACCTCGGCACACCCCGATGGGGAGGTGGAGGAAATGTATGAGGATATCTCTAGAGCCATGCATTCCTCCAAAACCCAATATACGGTGTTAATGGGAGACTTCAATGCAAAACTAGGCACAAGAGAAAACGGTGAGCTGAAAGTAGGGAAATTTGGAATAGGGCAACGGAACCCAAGGGGCCAGCAGCTGGCCGACTTCATGGAGAAAGAGGGACTCTTTATGATGAACTCTTTCTTCCAGAAGCGGCCCCATAGGAGGTGGACCTGGTCGAGCCCCGACGGTTCGACAAAAAATGAGATTGACTTCATTATGACGACCAGACGACAACTGTTCAGTGATGTCTCCGTGATCGCGAGGGTGAAAACTGGTAGCGATCACCGAATGGTTAGAGGCACACTGAACCTAAACGTTAAGTTGGAGAGATCTCGTCTAATGAAGTCAACGCTCCATCCCCCTCGTGCTCTGTTCCAAAGTCCCGAAACCTTTCAGCTCGAGTTACAAAACCGTTTTCAGTGCCTAGAAGACTGCAATGAAGTGGACGATATGAATGACAAGCTCGTGGAAACTGTCCATGCGGTCGGAGCTAAGTTCTGCAAGACCCGCCGCAGAAGAACACAAAAACTCTCCGATCACACTCTTAATCTCATGGCTGTTAGACGGGAGATGAAGCTACATTCTTCAACAGACTTGACAGCATACAGGCATCTGAACAGACAGATCTCCAAATGCATGCGGCGGGACTTACGCAACTTCAATACAGCTCGTATTGAAGAAGCGATCGAGCGGAACCAAGGCTCCAAAGTCTTTGCCAGAGATCTGTCTGCCAGAAAGAGCCACCTGTCAAAGCTGAAGACAGAATGTGGCAGCATCGTTTCCGGGACACCTGAGATTTTGAGTGAGATTGAGAGGTCCTATGGGCAGCTGTACACGTCATCGTTGGAGCCACACGCAAGTGTGAGTAACGATCCAAGAGCGAGTCTCATCCGACACTATTCCGAAGATATCCCGGACGTCAGTCTGAGCGAGATTAGAATGGCTCTCCAGCACCTTAAAAACGGTAAGGCCCCAGGCGAGGATGGAATTACAGCGGAGCTTCTGAAAGCGGGTGGAAGACCGGTACTTGAAGTCCTTCAGAAGCTCTTTAATTCCGTCCTCCATGGTGGCATTACACCGGAGGCGTGGAGCAGAAGTGCGGTGGTCTTGTTCTTCAAGAAAGGTGACAACGCTCTCTTGAAGAACTACCGACCGATTTCCCTTCTGAGCCGCGTCTACGTGCTGTTTTCGAGAGTCATTACGAATCGTCTCGCGCGCATACTTGACGACTTCCAGCCTCCCGAACAAGCCGGTTTCCGAAAGGGCTTTAGCACCATAGACCACATACATACCCTTCGGCAAATTGTACAGAAGTCCGAAGAGTACAATTTGCCACTATGTCTGGCGTATGTGGACTATGAGAAAGCCTTTGATTCCGTCGAAATTTGGGCGGTGCTGCAGTTCCTTCAGCGGTGCCAAGTTGACTGTCGGTATATCGAAGTGTTGAAGTGCTTGTACAGTAGGGCTACGATGGCTATCCGAGTACAGAACCAGAGTACGAAACCTATCCAATTGCAGAGAGGTGTAAGACAGGGTGACGTCATATCCCCGAAACTCTTCACCGCTGCATTGGAAGACGTTTTGAAGCTTCTGGACTGGAAAGGATACGGTATCAACATCAATGGCGAGTACATCACTCACCTTCGATTTGCCGACGATATAGTCCTTATGGCAGAATCGCTGGAGGACCAAAGCACTATGCTCAATGACCTCGATAGTGTTTCCCAACGGATAGGTCTTAAGATGAACATGGACAAAACAAAGATCATGTTCAATGTCCATGTCACACCTATGCCGGTAGTTGTTGGGAGCACTAAGCTCGAAGTTGTTGACGAGTATGTTTACCTGGGACAAATAGTCCGACTAGGTAAGTCCAACTTCGACCGAGAGGTCAATCGACGGATTCAACTCGGCTGGGCAGCGTTCGGGAAGCTACGACACATCTTCTCGTCAGACATACCTCAAAACCTGAAAACGAAATTGTACAACCAGTGCGTGTTGCCAGTGATGACTTATGGAACTGAGACGTGGTCCTTCACTGCTGGCCGTATGAGGAAGCTCAAGGTCGCTCAGCGAGCTATGGAGAGGGCTATGCTCGGAGTTTCTCTGCGTGATAAACTTAGGAATGAGGATATACGCAGTAGAACCAGAGTAACCGACATAGCCCAACGGATTAGTAAGCTGAAGTGGCAGTGGGCCGGCCATATAGCTCGAAGAACCGACAACCGATGGGGAAGAAAGGTTCTCGAGTGGCAGCCTCGTACCGGTAGGCGAAGTGTAGGGCGTCCCCCTACGAGATGGAGTGACGACCTGGTAAGACATGCAGGAAGTCGATGGATGCAGGTGGCTCAGGACCGTGCTTTGTGGCATTCTTTGGGGGAGGCCTATGTTCAGCAGTGGACTTGTGAAGGGCTGTAATGATGATGATGAAGATTCTAAGAGGCCAGTATTCAAATTCTAAAAAAGGTTTTATTGTAACTCAATCCGAAATATTCTATTCCCGATCATTTCAGTGTGCCCCTCGTAATATTATAATAATGATCTTTATTAAATATAGAAGAAGAGGCAGTCATAATTTCAGTCAGTTTTACAAGTAATTTGAATTTTTAATGTTTCTGTTGTTTTTCTAGTTAGTGTGACGTGCAAAAGACTTCATCTACTGCCTTTAAACATACGCACAGACATAGCAGACGTCTGTTTTCTAACAAAAATCGCACAAAGTAAAATGGATTGTTTGAAAGCTTCTTAGTACAATCTCACTAAGAGAAAATATGCAAGAATGTTCATGTTGTAACTTATTGTACTTATTATAGAAGAAATAGTTATTTGTAGGTCATACAAATATTTGTACAGCGCGGGATTCAAACCCGCGGCCCTTACTGTTGCAACTCATTGCTAAGTCACTGCACCACAGAGCTATCATTGAAGGTGAGTTTTGGTCTTACAAGCATGAGTAGATGAAATGGAATATTTAAATGATTATACAGCTATATTTACCCTTTAGCATAACTGAGCATAGGATCATCAGCTTTATAAGGTCTTCTCTGCCACATACGAAAGAGATATTGAACATAATATTCAATATTTGATCTTCTTGCTCCACTCACAATTACCTGTGCTTCATGTTCTACCATATTAATTACTAGCTGTTGGTGTGCTCTTGATAATACTGGATATCTATAAATAAACAAGTACATTTATAGTTAACTCAATATTTATTCATTTTTTATACTTTTTCACTAGGTCACATGTGTTACAAATGAAAATTATTCAAAAATTTTTAAGAAGCCCATACTACGAGTGCATATTAAACTGCCAAGGAGTGTCGCAATTATAGTTAACACAAGTGAAATAATAAGTTCTTGTTAAGAATCTCGGGCTGCGGACTTACCAGCCGCCCCACATACTTTCTGAAATGACCTTTCTACTCTAAATAACAGTGAGTGAGTAACAATGATTACTTGTGAAACAATGAAATGTTTCCTCGCTCATGCGGAAGTAGGTGAAATATTTTTGGTGTCCATTTTCAACTTATTCAAATAGGGTATAAATATTATGTTCGTTCTAGGTATCTTATTTTTTTTCTTTATTGTTCATAGTTCATAATCCTTAATGCCAATTACAAGTTCTTATTTATATACATAATATTTATACTATCGCTTGTTAATTGACAAATTAATGATATTAATTATATAGTGCTTAGATTTTTAAAAGTTATCTTAAAAATAAGTTTAAACATAAAAACAGGCAATAAGCAAAAAAGAAGAATATTACACAACAATACTGTCAGACTAGACAATTAATAATTAACTGAAATGAAATTTATATTACATATCTTTTATACGCATGTGTGTGTGTTGTGTGTGTGTTGTGTGTGTGTGTGTGTGTGTGTGTGTGTGTGTGTGTGTGTGTGTGTGTGTGTGTGTGTGTGTGTGTGTGTGTGTGTGTGTGTGTGTGTGTGTGTGTGTGTGTGCGTGTGTGTTGTGTGAAGAAGAATGACAAGCGAGCACAGTCCACCTGATGGTAAGTGGTTGCTGTGGCCCATAGACATCTACATCTATCCTCGTTTGTGAATCAAAATGCAGATGCCTTGTTAGCCGTGAGGACTAAGATGGAATGCCTCTTTTCCAGTAAAATGGGTCTCCGGTTCTCTACACTCACCATACGAAACACAGCAGCATTAAGATGCTATTTTACACTGATATTCTGTGAGTGTTGTATTTCCCTATATATATAGCTGCAGCACAGCTCTACCACGTTTATAATAGAATAGTATACATTATATAATGAATATAACAAAAATTTAATTTCCACACAACAACATGGTTCTTTCATAAAAAATACTCCATGTTTAAAAATAGATGAGGATACGATGATTTTAGCATGGCTCTTAGACACCTAATCAGTTATTTGAATTCATGAAGAAGCTTGTAATGTAACCATATTTTAAAAATCATCAATTTCACAGTAAAATAATTTTAAGTACTCTGTATTATGAAATGAATGCAGCCCTCTCAAGTAAATCCTATTTCAAAGAAAAGTAATCCTACATCCTTTTCTGAATATCGTCCTATCTCTTTACTGCCCTTCTTATCTAAAGTCCTTGAACGCCTTGTTTACACCCAGTTTAACAGTTTTCTTTGTGCGAATGCTCTTCTTAATCCTTTACAGTCAGGATTTCGACCTGGACACAGTATTACCACAGCATTGGTGAACATCACTGATGATATCCGATTAGGAATGGAAAACGGTGAAGTGACTGTTCTTTGTTTATTAGATTTCAGTAATGCTTTTAATACCGTGGACCATGATGTCCTACTCGGTATAATGCGCTCTCTTAACGTATCTCCAACAGCGATTGGTTGGTTTCAGAGTTACCTGTTTGGTCGCCAGCAACGTATACGTATCGACGATACATTATCATCTTGGTATAACGTACGTGTTGGTGTACAGTGTGCAGGGAGGCGTTTTATCTCCTTTACTTTTTGCAGTTTTTATAAACTCAATATCCAATAATTTAACTTCTTCCTACCACTTTTATGCAGATGATCTACAAATATATACAAAAGCTTGTCCCAACGATCTCCCCAATGCTATCAATGTCGTTAATGCAGATCTCGATCGAATTCTTGAGTAGAGTAATGCATACGGCCTTCACGTTAACCCAGCAAAATCGCAAGCCATTATCATGCGCAGCGCGCAAATGTTGGCTAAGTCGAGCCTAGATTACCTGCCTCTAGTATTTGGTAAAACTATTATTCCTTACGCAGATTCAGTAAAGAATTTAGGTATCCACATAGATAAGAACCTGTCGTGGGGACAGCACATCAAAGAAATTAATCGCAAAGTTTATGCCTCGGCAGCCTCCTTGCGTAGATTACGTAACTTTCTTCCCATTTCCACCAAAACTATGCTTGCCAAGTCCCTTCTCTTCATTTTTTTCATAAGGTTTATATTTGGATTGCGCAAATATGACCATGTATCTCTTTTTCGTACTAAGCTCAAGTGGTTGCCAATACGACTTCATCGGAATGCTCTACAGTGTCTTTAATCCTTTTTATCCTTCTTACCTCAAAAATAGTTTTGAGTTTCTTCATGATTCCCATTTGCGTAACTTGAGATCAGCAGAGAGTTTGAAGTTGAATTTGCCACTATACACTAGAAAATTTATGAACAAGTCTTTTACTGTACAGGCCGTTCATTTATGGAATGAACTCCCATTGTCAGTAAAACGCGCACCATCCTTACCGGTATTTAAAAAACTAGTTAAGAATCACTACCTCGCACTTTAAATTCTAACTTCACTTCCACACTAGCCATTAAATAATATATTATATGTATCATATCAATTTTATTTAATTAATTAAATAATTCAATATATATATATATATATATATATATATATATATATATATATATATATATATATTGAATTTTTTATCTCTTTTTTTTCTCTAACACACCAATTTGCCCTGCCCTTGTCATATTCGTGCAATCCTGTCCATTCATTGGTTGTCTGGAAGAAATTGCTATCAGCAATAAGACCGCCCATTGCATATTTCTTTTATATATATAATTTCTGTAATTTATGTATGGTGTGCAATAAAGAATATTAAATAAAAAATAAATAAATCCAACAATTTAAATTCATGTAAAAAATTGCAATACTGCAGTTTAATATGAAGAAAATACTTGCCCTTTTTTATTGTTATGGAAAATAGATGTTGGAACTATTATAGCTTTTACTGGTTCACCAAGCCATCTCTTCAGTATTTCTTGTGCAGGTAAATCAGCAGAGAGTTCTAAAACCACCCCAACTCGTTTATCCCAATCTAATCGCTCATGGAATTTTGACCACCAATGCCATGTCTCATTCCATGCCTCTTCACTTTCTTCGACATCTTGATTGTTGCGTTGAGCAATTCTTGTGGATACCATAGGCACAGAAGCCCAAATAAGGGAAGGGTGATGACTGCAAGTTAAAAAAAAATTAAAAAATTTGTAAAGACAATATTAACTTCTAATAATTAGATTATAATCTCAACTATAATCAATCTAATAAATACAATGTGATATTTGATTCACTCGCGCATAAACAAAACCTTATGTAGGTAATGCTAAGGACATTTGCTGCAAGATATTATAATACATCAAATAGAATCTATTTATTATTAAGTGATATAAAACTTTAGTTGTCGTGAGTGAACCAGTACTTATTAATTTTGGTCATTGTGATGTACAACACAACTTTTGAGCACGATTAAAGTTAGGATCTGTATTAAAAATTTAATAAGTGGCGCGCGCTATGATTTTTTCCGATTTTAAATGTTGCCTAAAACTGAATTTTAAATGGCATTTATGGATAAGGAAACCGTGTACCGCTGGTATAAAAAATTTATAACACAGTCAACTAACTTTGAGACATGAAGAAAGAAATGATCGCCATTTGATTGCTGTTACACAAGGAAACGAAAAATTTAATTGAAGAGTAATCCGAATTACTTACTACGAGATTTATCACATATTGCAGATTGGATCAAAAGAATTTTATGAGATTTTACACGACAAGCTTTGCATGAGGAGGACAATTGTGAGTTGGGTGCCGCAGAACCTTACAGATCACAGAGGCAAGCTTGCGAGGAATGATCCTGTGACATGATTCCTAAATTTGAAACAGGCTCGTCTCAGCGTGTTTACAAAATTGTTATAGGTGTGATGAATTTTGGATTTATCAATACATTCTAGAAACGAAATACCAATCTACGGTTAGAATGTTTCAATATAAACCAACCAAAGTCAAGCAATCTAGGACAGGCAAGATTTAGATTGTCCGATTTTTCACTTTGACTCTGGTTCACATGGTCTTTGTATCTGGTGTCAATTCCTTTATGAAATTGAAGTAGACATCATTGCCGAATGGTACGAGGGCTGCACTAAAGGTATCGGGAATAGAATATTTCCACTGTTCCTGTCATGTTAAAATCTTTTTAATTGAAAAGTCCTTGGTTTTAAAAATCGAATCGAATACCATTTATTTATTTAAAAAAAGATTCTCGGTCTTGCCACAAGGTTTTATCGAACTTGTTTAGTCGTTGAGAAAATGGAATTGACTCGAGAAAATTCAAGAGCGATGATTTATTATGACTTTCGAAGTGGTTAAACCAGTGTGTTAAACCACAAAAACAGTGTGTTGACCGGATGATAATTATGGACCACACAATATAGAGCAAACATCTAGTTATAAGAGGTAATTAGCCTGGGCAGGGAATAGAGAATTAGTTTAAGCTAAATTTAGTACACAATAATTAGAGTTTAATATTATACATTTGAATATATTTTGAGATCATATTGACATATATGGAATTGGGGATAGTTAAGAGGGAATTGATATTCACTGGTCGAGTGATTGTTTTGGGAAGAATGTCATATAAAGAAATTGGGTGATTTTAGCAATTAAAGAAAATGTGGTCTGGGGTACCTTCATCTAGACCACATTCACAGAGGGAATGATCTTTGATTTTAATTTTAGCTAGAAATACAGGAGTGCAGGCATGCCCAAACCTTAAACGGCAGATTGTGGATGTGATTTGTTTGTTCAAAAAGCTAAATTTAAAAACCAAGGTTTTGGAGGAATTTGGGGTTGAATTTTAGCAACCTTTAATATGTCTGGATATGCTCCATTCTCTATCCCAAGAGGTCTTTAATTCAGTTTGAGCTAATGACATTAGATCATGAGAGTAATTCATTAATTGAGAAGGACAGCCAGTATCAACAGCTCCTTTGGCCCAGGAGTCAGCCTGTTCATTTCCTTCTACGCCACAATGACTAGGAATCCACACAACCTCTACATCAAGCCCACTCTTATTACAATTTAGTATGAGTTCCTTAATTTTCAGTATTAATAGGGAGATGGATTTCATTTTAAATATATTGCTCTGTAACGACATTAGGCAGCTTTTTGAATCAGTAAATATAACTGACTTAGGAATTTTATGGGAAAGAATATAGGATATAGCTTCATATATGGCTACAGCTTCCCCAGTAAAAACAGAAGCCTGAGGAGGACATGTATAATTAAGAACAATTTTATATTTGGGGATCCAGACTGCAGAACCGACACATTTGAAAGAAGACAATTTGGAAGCATCAGTAAAAATATATAGCCAAACAGTCCATTTTTTTGCCACAAGGTTGTAGAAAGTTCTGTTTGCAGTTGGGGAATTTTTATTAAGGTTTAAATTCAGAGTAATTTTAAGATTTCGTAATATAGCTTCATAGCTGGTTTCAAAATAGGATAGAATTAGGGATGTTACACAAGGATAACCAATATCTTTTAATCTATTTAGAGATTTAAGAATAGGGGGCCAATTTTTATTAGACCAATAGGAGTTGTTTACAACTAATAGTAGCAAGGAGTCTAGTTTACGATGTTAGTTGTAGTATTTTTGAGAGAAAACTATCAGCTAGAAACTGTCTTCGTAAAGAGAGAGGGAGATCAGCACATTCTACTTGTAAAGCATTTTTAGGAGTTGATTTCATTGCGCCTGTGATAATACGTAAACATCTTGTTTGGATAACATCAAGCCTATTAAGGGCCAATTTGTTGCAGGGCTCCAGGAGGAAAGAGCCATAGTCGAAGTGACTGCGGATGATGGCATTGTATAGGATTTTTTGACACATGGGGTGAGAACCCCACCATACGCCTGAAAGAGATCTAAGAATGTTAACACCTTTCTCACATTTGTCACTGATGAAATTAAAGTGAGCAGTACCGGTCATATGACAATCTAAGTAAATACCTAAAAATTTTACTTTGTTAACAACTGGAATAGATTCACCATTACATGAGATATCAATAGTAGAGATAACACGTTTTCTACTAAAGGTTATTATTTTGCTTTTAGAAGCTGAAAGAGAGAGGCCATGGTGAGTGAGCCATTGATTAAGATAATATAAGCCTCTGTTAAGATGATGGGAGGCAGTTAGGATATAGTAGGCAGTTAGGAGCTGTTACATAGATAGCAAGATCATCTGCATATTGTAATGTCACAGAAAGACAAAATCGAATGTTCAAGGTCATATGTGTAAATATTATAAAGAATAGGGCTTAAGACAGAGCCCTGTGTGGCGAGCTTAACATTCCTTTATTGCGAATTTTGATAGATCGTCCCATGAACAGATTGTAAATGAAGTGTACAGTCTTCGCAGGGATGTTCAGATGAAGCATTTTCTGCCTGAGCACCGGAAGAAGAACACTGCCATAGGCAGATGATATATCCAGGAAACAACGTATTCATTTTTAGAAAAAGCCAACCTAATATCTGTAGTTAGGATACTCAAACTATCTAATGTGCTTTTCCCTTCACGAAAACCATTTTTTTTTATACGATAAGGATGACAAACAAGCACACAGTCCACCTGATGGTAAGTGGTTGCTGCGGCCCATAGACATCTACATCTATCCTCTATTACAAATCAAAATGTAGATGCGTTGTCACTCGTGAGGACTAAGATGGAATGCCTCATTTCCAGTAAAAAGGGCCTCCGGCCACCTGCACTCACCAAGCGAAACGCAGAGGTAAAACTCTACTTCACGCTGGTTTTCTGTGAGGTCGTGGTACCACCCCGGTTCGAGCCGGCCCATCCGTGCGACAGCAAAAGCTGCCGCGTGGCTCTACCACTGTTAAAAAATTGACTTTTTGCAAGGATGTTACTATGTTACAGAAACCATTCATGTCTGTTTTTAATTAAATGTTCTAAAATTTTGCAAAAAGTAGATTAAAGTGCAATTGAGCGGTATGAAAAAGCTTCTTTGGGATCTTTTCTGGGTTTAAGGATAGGTATAACAATTTGGTTTGACCAAGACAGAGGAATATTAGATGATATGTAGATATTGTTCAGAATTTGGAGAAGTATTAATTTTCACTTAAGGCTTAATTTACATAAACATGCATAGGGTATGCCATCTTCTCCTGGAGAAGAGGATTTTAAGCCAGATAACACAGACTGTAGTTGGACAATGAGAAGATTATCTCATTATTGTTGATGTTAGACGGGACTGGAATGGGTGGGCATATTGCATATTCATTAGGGACAAAAGGAGGAGCTAACATATCAGAGAAGACTTCTAACAATGGTAGAATTATCAGAAATGTTGGTATCAGAAAGAAATTGAAATTGTATAAAATTATCGGTTGTCATACAGTGATTTTCTGCAGCTTTTCTCCTTTTAATCATAGTGGTGCATTCAGCATCCCACCATGGAGGGGAGGATAGGTTCTTGCTGTAGGGTTTTTTGGTTGGGATAAATAAGTCAGCTGCTTCAGTTATATATTGTACCAATAAAGAGTAAGTTATTGGGTTAATTGAGGAGTGTCAACCTGCATTTGGGCAAATTTAATATCTAAAAATTTAGTGAAATTAGTCCAATCTGCATCTTGGAGCTTATATTTAAGGTATACTCTATGAGTCGGGGAACCATTGTTTATGATGCAAGCATTAATGTCTTCAAAAACTTGTATAAGTTCTGAAGAGTATATGTCACAAAAATGTGACCCCCAAGATACATGATGTGAATTAAAATCACCAGTAATAATAAAAGGGGGAGGTAACAAAGAAAAGAGAGAGGATAGTTCTTGGATTAAGTGGGTATTTGGATGAGGGATATATATTGAAATAATGTTGATTCCTGCAATTTTTGCAGCTACGGCATTAATGTTTTGGCTATGAGGAGGGAGTGTAATTTGAGAAAAGGGTAGCGATTTTTTTATGAGTAAGCAACAACCACCATAACCATCATTTCTATCTTCACGGAGGCAAGTAAAGCCTTGCAAGCGAAATTTGGAGCCAGGTAGGAACCATGTTTCTGATATTGAGGCAACAGAAATTGAATGTTTAATTATTAGGAAGATGAGTTCTGATTTTTTAGGTTGCAAGCTTCTACAGTTCCACTGTAGAAGATGGAGGTCTTTTGTTTGAGTCATTTATATTATCTATTAAACTAGCTAAATTAAAGATTTTTTCTGCAACATTGTTCGGTAGCAAGTCTGACCAAAACTACTTTTGTATTTTTAACATACATTAAATACACTGAGATCGTAATGTTAACATATTTATTTCTTTAAAACTTTCTCTTAGGGACTTTATCAGTTTTAGGTTGTAAATATTTTTTAAGCATTTATAGCCCTCTTCTACAAAAGGTGTTTAATATCCTGATGTCATAGTTAATGAAGTTTACTGTTAACTTTTAAATATGTCAAACACTTAATATACCACAATTGATATGGGTGTTTCCATAAAATTAGGGCTACTTTTGGAAATAATTTGTCTTCATTAATTTTAAGATGCTATTGCATATAATGGAAGATTAATTTATTATGTCATACCTAAAAGGGCCAGTCACTTTATGTAGTATTTTATGAGAAATTTAGTTTTGTGAATTTAGGCATCTAAGGACAGACTATTATGGTTACGGACTGATGAACAATAACTATATTATAATAAAATAAGATATGTAGAGATTTTGAGACATATTAATATTTTCATGTACAACACAGACACAAGTATCACGATCGATAAGTTTAGGGGGCACAACTCAGAATGAATATAATTCGACAAAATAATGAATACCTAATTGTCAAAGTATTTGTTAGAAAAAATATTTTTTGCAAAATTTTCAAAGAATCGAACAAATACTGTTTTTGTTTTTTGATTCCATTGCAAGTAATACACTCCTTTTTCCCTGCTGCAGTGAGACTATTACTATCATCTTCGTAGAACCTGTGAATGGTTTGGACTACTCCATTTTTCTTAGCTTTAATTTTCTTTTTAGAAATATTGCACCAAAACTTATATGTTATACAGCTATTGCCGAATCGCCAAAGTTTATATTTGTCAACATTTGGACCATACACAAGCAGATTGAAATTTGATTTCTCTTGATGAGTTTTAGCTTTTGAAAAATGTTCTATAATTTAGGCCTGCAAAACTTCCTTCTCTTCCTTTTTGACCAATTCTCTACTTTGATTAGGATCTTTAGTCATTCATTCAATTTTACTTTTAGGTGTTTGTAATTTCTTTAAACTTTTAATTTTTTTATCTCAGTCTATTGTATTTCTTCTGTTTCGTGTTAAGCTTTTTCTATAAATTAACAATAATAGTGCATTTTTTGTAACACTTTGTTTCTTAAATCGTTGATGAAGGCTTCTTCTTTTACCTTCAATTAGCCTAAGATCACCATTCACATTTTCGTTGTTTCTATTATTAATCAGCGGTTCTGGAGCTATATTTTTGTGGGTACCGTATTCACAGTCACAGTCACAAACACTTCTAGCTTTTTCGTTCTTTCTATAATCAGATGAGTACTTCTTCCATTCTTTTCTAATTTTGATTTGCTCAAGAGGGGTCATATCCTTAACAGTTTCGTTATCCATTCTCCTTCTTTTTTAGATATTTTAGTCTTTCTTTCTCTATATTCAGCCAACAAAACTGGATTGCTTTTAATTATATCCAAATGTGCTTTTGTAACAGCAGATTTTTTATGGCTATTTCCTCTTAAGACAATCTTTGGCTTCTTTGCAGGCGACATGTTGCTATAAAACAGATAACACTTATATAACTAAAAAAATATAACCAATAAGTGTAGATAAACTTTCTAATCTCATAGTCTCAGACCACCTTGTTCGGTCCGGATTCGAATTCCCGAAAGGGCAAGCTTTGGATCTAGTTTTACGCATTTGTAAAAATAATAGTCTATATATTCATATTTCATTTTAATAACTTGTCTAGTTCTACTAAGTAAATAAACATATTCAAGGATAAGTCAATAAATGTTACATGATTATAAGTGAATGTCAGTCAATGACCACTTCCGTCAGTCCCTAGCACCATTCACAACTAGGGCCTGATGGCTCAGGGACTGACGATTCGGAGTAAAACTAAGAAAAATATACTAATTGATCACCATACTACAACATTTAAAATTATCTACCGAACAAGATCCGTAAATCACTTGTAAATATTAATCAATTGATGTCAATTTCCTATTATTAAACTATAAAATTACTTACCTAGGGACTGACAAAGTGACTGGATCAGCACGTGTTTGCACATAAACTGCCGCATTTGCACAGATTTACAGAATAGCCGCTGCAATGGGAGTGCAGTTTGCTGATAATATCATCTCTTTCTTTAAAATGAACTGGTGTACATTCACTCTTCACTCATATTATGCCACAAAATTTTAAAATCCGTTATTGGCTAGGGACTGATTATTAAAATAGTAGACAATAATTTCGACTTTAGGAAACATCTTAATTGGCTTTTTAAATTACAAAAATTGATGAAATTATTTGTAAGTACTTTAATATTTAACAATGGTAAAGATAATTAAAGTATGAATTAATTGCTTTTCGAGATATGGATGCCCAAACACAAAATTTCGGTGCGCGGACATGGCTAGGGACTGACATTTGGAGTCAATAAAAATGATTACAAGGGTGTAGTTTATTACTATTTTAAACAAAGTTTGGGGAATAAATAAAACACATTCTGAACTGTTACTTAGCAATCTTAAAATAAAATAATTATTAATCATATCAAGTGAAAATTGCTGCGGACACAGAGTTGCCCGATTTTTGTGGAAACACCCATATATGAAATATCAGTATTTGACTAGCCCCAATTGGCTTTGTTATTTGTTATAGAAACTTTTTTCTGTTTCGGTTTGTTATGAAACAAATACAATAAAATTATATAATGAAAGTATAAATAATATAACATAATTAATTGCATAAAACATTTATAAATAATTTGCAGATTGTTAAATTTCATTATATTGCTATGCCAGAACAAGCATATTTTTAAATTTAATAATTTATCATAAACTTCACAGAAGTATGAGATAATTACAAAAAATTATATCTCAAAAGCTGTGTTGCCACAATATAATATATTAAGAATACAAAGATAAGATCTATTCCTTATAACCTTGAAATCAATTAGAGGGAATTTGATCTTACAAGTATAAGTTACAAGTAGACAAGCTTATGTCCAGTAGTAGACTTAACTTAGACTGAAATTTTATTGAAATTTCTTTAATTCTACGAATAAATAAGTCTTATGGGTTATTTTTAAAACATAAATCATTTTTGACCCGACTGTGATTTGGATGCTTTTGCAAAAATAATCTTTACCTTCAGCAACTTTGTAACACTAGTTATGGTTAACTGTTGGAAAGTATTATTTTATGTCAATATCTCAAACAGTGCATGCATATATATGTAAATGCTTATAGGCCAATTTAAATTGACATACCTAGTTTCATTATATGTTTGAAGAATTCTAGCCAAATTATTTGTGTTACTTGACCTTAATGGTAACATAATAGCCGGTACACCAAGACCCCGGCAGTATGAGAGTTCTTCGTTTAAACAATCCTCGTGACGCTGGCGGACTACTGGTGACATTGAATCTACGCAGATATAGGGTGATATCTTGGCAACTATTCGACTAGTCCAATCTTGCGGAGACAGTATCATATCTGACCGTGTGAAGCCTCCAACTGTACTTACACTAGACACATACGGACGACGAAAACGTGGGTGAACCACTGGCGTAACTATAAATGAATAATTACAATGTAGTGCCTCCGTGAGACATGCTTGTAAGTCTGGCGTGATTAAATACTCTAAACCACAAGAAATATCTGGCGACATTTTTTAAGATTACAGAAACTACAACTGAACAACTGATGCTTATCAAGCGAGGAAAAAGTAAGTTTCAATTGTGAAAACGGTTGGAAACCACAATTATATTTTAGCCGGCTACAGAACAGAATGCGTTCTTGTCAAAAAAGTACTCTGTGGATCTGTGGTTCTTGTTCTTGACAGCTGACACCTGTCAGTCCAAGTTGCACACTTGCACACAGCCGGCCACATACATATCGAGATTCCGAACGCAGCAATCCATATAAAATCACACACAAAATCACAATAAAATACACACGTACACAGTAGTTTTCCGTTCGAAATTTTGCGGGCAAAACGGAATTCCGAATGTATGTGTCCGACCTATTCGGAATTCCTAAACGGAATCCCGAAACGGAATTCCGAATGTAGTTCGTTTAGTTTAGTTTAAGACGGGCTGTTCCGCAACTCCACGTCTATGCGCGTAATTGGCGTGTGGGCAAGAATATGTGATAATTCGAGCCATGAGATCTCCCCGAAGAAGCTCAACAGTCCTTTGATATTGAATACAACTTCGGGGAGTGATCCCAGCGTGCCGAGATGTTGAGCCCTCTACGTAGTGACCTACGGACATTTCAGTAGCACGTGGGCCGCCGTTTCTTTCTCCCCCATACATGCCCTGCATCGGGGACTATCTGTAACACCTATAGTAAATAAATGTTTGTTAGAGGTGCCGTGTCCTGTGATGGTCCTTGTTACTATCCTGATCTGCGGCTTGTTCAATCGCATTAGAACGTTGGTTAAACGACTGTTTGTTTCAGGCAGGGCCTCTCTAGCTTGTCTACAGTCTACTAGATTTTTCCAAAGCTGAGCGTGTTGATTAGTGAAACGTCTACGTACCAGTGAACGAACGTTACCAAAGGGGATTGGTATGATTGGTTTCGGCCCTATAATGGCCAAAGCCGATCCTCTTCTGGCCAGTTCGTCTGCTGCATCGTTGCCTCTGGATCCACTGTGTCCCTTTATCCATTGCAGAGTCACATTGTTGTTTTTACATACCACATTTAATCGTTGATGGCATTCATATATTAGTCCTGAGTTTACCACATTGCAACTTAGAGCTTGTAATACCGCCCTACTGTCGGTCAGTATTCTGATGGAGAAGTCATTGGCCTTCCTAGCATCTATTGCTATGGCCGCTTGAATGATACCCATACTTTCCGCCTGAAAGACTGTGTTATAGGTACCCAGCGGTGTGCATATGTGGATATTGAGGTCTTCAGAGAAAGTTCCAAATCCTACACCTTCATCTGTTTTAGAACCATCGGTGAATACTCTAAGCTCTTTTGGGCTTAACCCTTCCGGCTGGCTGGTTTCATTTAATTGTATCTTGTACTTCTTATCGAATACAAATTGTTTCGGAATCTTATCGTAATTGGCCAGTAAGATAGGAATTTTTGAGTGAATTCTATCAATTATGTCTGTATAAGGGACACTATTTTTACTCCAAAGATTTAGGGTTTTGAGTCTGATGGCAGCTAAAACCGCTTCTTGTTGTATATGTAGATGATGCGTGGTTGGCTTCAGCATCTCTTCTAAGGCTGCTGTTGGCGTAGTCCTTATGCAGCCTGTGGCAGCCATACATGCCAGTCTCTGGTAGCGCTGAAGCTTCTTTATAGTGGTGGCTTCATTTGTCTTGGTCCAACATACCAGAGCACCGTATGTGATCATGGGCCGAATTACAGTTTTGTACAGCGACAGTATGATTTTTGGCGTCAGACCCCATCTTTTACCAAAAAAGTTATACTAGCTTTGTTGATTTTGTTTTCTATATATTTATTCCAGTTAAGTATGCTGTCCAAGGTAAGACCTAAATATTTTACCTCAGAGGATAGCTGGAGTTTTGTGCTGAAAAGAATTGGGAGATGATAGTTATTCAGCATTCGTTTTTGTGTGAACATTACTAGAACAGTTTTATTTGGATTGACGGTTAAGTCGTATTCCCTGCACCATTTATCCACTATAAGGAGAGCCGCTTGGGTCAGGTCGCATTCCGAATGTATCTATCGGGCCTAAGGCCGTATGTAAGTAGCCGGCCTTAGACGGGATTCCTTTTTAGAATTCCGAATTGGGGATTCCGTTTAAGAATTTCGAATTGGGGATTCCGAACGCAGCAAATCCATATAAAATCATGGACGTACCACACACACAGTAGTTTTATCGTTCGAAATTTTGCGGGCAAAACGGGATTCCGAATGTACTCCAATTACTTTATTATTTAGTATGCCTTGAGAAAGAAATAAATGGATTTTTAATTTTTAATTTTTTTTTAATATCCTGAATGTACATCCTTTGACACCCTAAGTAATTTTTGTTTATTTATTTATTAGGTTTACCAGTAATTGTAACAATAATATTACATCAATGAGTATTTAACAATAACATGTGTTTTACAGCCAAATGCACAATTTATTAAAGGTAGTAACAACCAATTTTTATAAATGACTTAATTAATTTTTATGAATGTTCACAATAAATGAGAAAAAGAAAGAGAGAAAAGGAAACACACAGCACAGCACAGTATATAAATGAGTATAATAATTACTTAATTATAACTCGACTATGGTTTTTGCAAGTGTTTGCGGAACGTATTCAGACTTGTAGCATAGATATGTATGTTTTACCATAACAGTTTAGAATTCTGCTTGCTTTAGGGACAAATGAACTTGAGCCCAAAACTGTTGTGCGCAAGGGTGGAACCAATGGTGACATTTTAGTCCTAGGTAATTTGTGTGGTACATTTAATCTAAATTTTTTCAGTAAGCCTGGGCAATCTATTTTGTTGTTAAATAATTTGTACAATAAGACGAGATCAAGCATTATACGATGGTTTTCCAAGAAAGTGTACTTAAAGTGTTTCAATCTGTTTTGGAGGGAAAACCCTATTTTACATTTATTGACTGAGTAGGCTAGGTGTCAAAGATATCTCTTCTAAATCCGTTCCAACCTTAAAGAGTGATATTATGCATAGTGTGGTCGCCACATCCAAGCATGTTTGAAACTCTTTTTATAACACTTTCTTATGGTCAGCTTCCTGTAATTTTATACCATTAATAAAATAAGCAGGGTCTAAAGTTTTCTGATTTCGGGTAAATTTGACGTAAACACATTTGCCTACATTTAGTTGCATTCCATTCCATTCACACCAACGATTTAGACTATTTATATCCTCTTGTACTAATATGGAATCCTGTGTCGTTTTTATTACTCGTAGTAACTTCAAGTCATCGGCGTACAAGTACGGAGTAGAATACAAGATGCAATCAACAACGTCATTAATAAAAATATTAAACAAAATAGGACCCAGGTTAGAACCCTGTGGCACTCCCGAATCTATGTCATATTCCTTAGAATTAAAACCATTTACCACTACAAAAAATTTACGCTTATTCAGATATGAATTAAACCAGTTTAACAAGGTTCCATTAATACCATAAATTGACAACTTCTTAATCAATATTTCATGCGGCACTTTATCAAAGGCTTTGCTGAGATCTGTATAAATTACGTCTGTTTCCTGGCGAGCGTCAATGGACTCCGTTAGAGTCTTAACAAAGGAAACCAAATTAGTGGCAGTTGAATTTGATTTCAAAAAACTATGTTGAGGGACCGTGATAAATGGTTTACATAAGCGAAAATATATGGACATATCAAAATTTCGTAGACCTTGGACATTGTAGAAAGGACTGAAATCGGTCTATAATTTATAACCAAATCACTATCACCAGACTTAAAAACTGGAATCACCTTTGCGATTTTCCACTCCCTGAGAAATATCCCCTATGCTAAAGATGTATTGTATATAAAGCAGAGAGGTACAGCAATACTTAAGGCACAATTTCTTATAAAACAGGGTGGAATACCGTCGGGTCGGAAGATAGATACTTACGATTTCGGCAATTGCTGTAGTAGAACTTTCTTCACTTCACAGCTCAGAATAAGTGTATGTGATGACGTCTGAGATGATTTTTTATATTAGTAGTATTTCCACTAGTATTAACCGTCTGTTTATACATTTAACATTGTTCACCCAGGTCACATTTAATAAAAAAGCCCAAACGTTTTCAAATAATAGTTTACGGTCACAGAACAGCTCAGCTATTCGTATTGCAATAATACAAACAATGAAAGATCGTAGAACACTAACAGAGGTACCCGAGGTTAATAGATAATAAAATAAACAAAATATTATCATACCTACCTTCATATTTTATACATTACCGCTTTTGATGTAACTCGAAGCTACTCTCATTCAATGTGTAGGTAGGTAATCTTACTTTGTTTTAGTTATTTTGTCCCCTCCTCGGCAATACGAAAGGTATGCAAAGATCGGTTTGTACGTTAGTACGTTACGGTTCGGTTGATGTTTAGGTTTTAGTTGATAAGATTTTTTCATACGATCTTATAGGCATACGATTCGATCTGTGTGAAGATCGCATTCCCTTGAATCGATTCAAAAATCGGTAAATCGTAAGGCCGTGAATCGATCTTTCAGAAAAACGATCCAGATCGGGCATCCCTAGTTTGTATCTAGAACGCGTAGTGTTTCTATATTATAGCTTGTGGCAGGCTGGTGCAACTTCCATAGTAAAAAATATATGTACTACAGGGGTCAAATTTTAATGACGGTTAACTCTCCTTTTTGCTTTTCGTAATATGTCTATTAACGACATTGCCAAATCAAATAGGTTCAAGCAATTATATTTGTATATATTTATTTATTAAGATTGATTTTAATTTTGCTATAGGAGCCGTTGTTCATTTATAGAATTGTTAAAAAATTAAATATGCATTATAAAACTTTCCAACTAAATGGTGCAAGAAGGCGAAAAAATGATAACAAGAAAAGGCTATTTGTAGCAATATTTCCCTTAGGTGATGAAAGGTATGTGGTAATTTCAACTTTAATAGTAATATGATATTTAACGCGAGTACATTTTTGGACTAGCCATCTATGTAGGACAGGTTTT